ACACTAGTCATTCATGCTTTCCCAGACACAAAGCTACCTATATTGTCCATCATTTTTTAAATCACCTCTGCTGCAATGAAGAAAAACATTTATAAATACAGCTCAGTATATCATCACCCATTTCTTTCAAAAAAGGAAAAACATATTTCTAAATTTTATCAGCTTTTTAATTTCTGTGCGATGCCAATATAGATATACATTCCGAGTCCATTCCCCACAATGTTGCCAAAGATGTTGCAGCTGGAAAGCACCTGTTTAGCTGCCACTGTTTTTGAACTCGCCATTCTCAGTGATGGACAGTTTGATGGGGCTTGTGTGTGATATATTGTTGCACAAATTTTGTATTTTGTAACACTCCTTCACCTGCGTGAGGGTGCTTATTAGCCGGGAGTTAGCAGCATCCAATGCACTGATCCTTTTTTCCTGTGATTGGAAACAAATATTATTAGCTGCATACAGAGTTTGTAATTTAAATAAATCAGTACAATCTTTGCATTATACTAGGGCAGAAGATCTATCAAGAAACAATATAAAGAACAATATGCAGGCTGTAATAAACCGGGTAGTACTTGAGGGGGCACAAATAATGTAGTAGTACATTCTTACTTAATGTATTAATTAACTAGGAACTAAGTGTTAGTTACCTAATGATCCCATGTTCATTCATCATTAAATCAATTATAATGGTTCATATATTTGTACTTGAATAGTAACTGAGTTACAAAGTTACTTTTGCGCCCTCAAGGAAAGTGTTACTGAAAAGTGTAGAAGTTTTTAGACAGAACTAGGAGCACACCTTGTTTACATACATTTCCTTCTGCTCCAAGATTTTGCCTTCCTTGAACATGCATCAGTCATTTTGCCTCTACATACTATTTCTACCACCATTTGATTTCAACATTCAGTACAGCTATCTCAGCAATAAAATTCGTAGTTATCTAATTGGAACAATACTGCTATCAAAACAAGGCAGTGTACCGACCACTCTAATACCGTTTATAAATAAAAAGCAGTATACAATTATTTTTAAATTGTACACTATACTGCAATGTTAAAAAAGACGTATTTAATTACATAAGTTTTTATGGACAGGCTCTACAGTAAGTTTTTTTTTATTAATTTGGCTGTTCCAAAATATATTCCAAATATACACCATCGTCTACGTGACATCGTTTTTCTGCCATAATTAAAATGCCTTTTTTCAAGTTAAATAAAATAAAACTCACATTAACACATTAAATCCAATTCCTCACAAATCACTGCAACTGAAAAAAATAAACAGGCAATCCTTATGAAGAGCTACAGCGCCCTCCACAATTATTGGCACCGCTTGTAAAGAATTGTAAAAAGGGTTAGAAAAAAATCCAATCTTTGATCAAAATTAATTTACCGAAGGAAAAACAAATTCTTCATCGAGAAATAACTATTTTCAACAAAATCACATGTGCCACGATTATTGGCACCCCTGCTTTTAATACTTTGTACAACCTCCCGTTGCCAGTATAACAGCACTGAGTCTTCTCCTGTGACATTTTATAAGGTTGGAGAATACCAAACAGGGCATCTAAGACCATTCCTCTTTACAGAATTTCTCCAGATCATCCAGGGTCCTAGGCCCTCTCTTCTGCACTCTCCTCTTCACCTCAGCCCACAGGTTTTCAGTGGGGTTCAGGTTAGAGGACTGAGATGACCATGGCAGAAGTTTGATTCTGTGGTCAGCTAACCATTTTTGTGTTGATTTGGACATGTGCTTAGGATCACTGTCCTGCTGGAAGATCCAATGACGGCCCAATTTTTGTTTCCTGGCAGAGGCAGCCAAATTTTGATTTAAAATGTCCTGGTATCTATGGAGTCCATGATGCCATGTACCATAACAAGTTTTCCAGGGATTTTGGATGAAAAACAGCCCCACACCATCACAGAACCTCCACCATATTTTGCAGTTGGGATAAGGTTGTTCTCATTATAGCCATCTTTCCTTTTTGCACCAAACCCACCTTGAATATTTATTGCCAAAAAGCTCCAATTTTGATTCATCAGACCATTAAATTTGGTTCCAGACAAAGTTGTAGTAGTGTTTTACAAACTCCAGGTGCTTATAAGAACATAAGAACTATACAAACGAGAGGAGGCCATTCGGCCCATCGAGCTCGCTTGGGGAGAACTTAACTAATAGCTCAAAGTTGTTAAAATCTTATCTAGCTCTGATTTAAAGGAACCCAAGGATTCAGCTTGCACTANGTCCATTTCTTTCCACACAGGCTACCCAGATACTCGTTCAGTCCCTCGTCATCTCCCGCCTTGACTACTGCAACTCGCTCCTAGCGGGTTTACCACTGAGCATCATTCGTCCCCTCCAACTGATTCAGAATGCATGTGTGTGTGTGTGACCGTGGTGGGCTGGTGTGGATGATGTCCAGGGCTGTTTTTATGTCCCAGTCCAACCCTGGATACAGATGTTTATTTGTCTCTGTGTTTTTTGAGTTTTATAAGGTTTTTGCAGAGTCTCAAGCAGAGATCTTGAGCAAGACTTCTTTGAAACTTTAGACCGCCATAGCCCACGTTTGCTTGAGATTTGCAAATCCACAAGTGGAAGTGTTGGCAGAAGACTCGCCGAGATCCTTCGTCAGATTGAAACAAGGGTACACATATTTATTTTCTCATTCTTGTTGTGAATTCTTGTTGTATCTTCTTATTTCTTTTCACTTTTACTTTTCAAATTAGGCAAGATTTAACATGTCAGTTACTGGGCTTTAGGGTGTTGATGGGCTGATTTTGTTATTAATGAACAGAGCAATGCCCCTTTTTCCATCCTGTGCTAAGATGAACTAACTTGCGGCTAACTATGTCCTTATACTGTATATAGTCAATTGAAATTTTATTACGTACACCCAGCTAAAACTCAGTCTAATCCAACAATTCTGCAATATATCCTTAATGATGGTGTTGATATTATTTTTGTTGATTAATGATCATTGGATAAACACCTTATTATCATAATTTTGGAGGCTGTAGTTTGCTCTACTGTTAAACTGACAGGTGATTCTATTTTGTCTATCTAGTTTATATCAGCCACACACAAACTACAACCTCCAAAATTATGAGTTGACAAAGTCTGAGCAAAAACTGACTATTTTGACTTTTATGAAGGGGTATTTATTGTAAGACTGCTGGATTAGACTAGACTAAATTTAAACTAAATTTTAACTAGGTGTAGCTAATAAACTGACAACTGAGTATATACAACTTAAAACATTGGAGTGAGTACTGGAGGGAGCCACACCCTACTGACATGGGACCAGCAGTATGCCCATACCGCCAACTCTGTTGTCCATTTCATCTGATATTATATTCGTTGCGATACAGTCACAAGATCTTTCAGGGTGCTTAACTTTTTTCTCCACGAGGGTATATTAATATTTTACTGCCGAATGAAAGCACATTTACCAATAGCTTATATTAGCAACTTAGACAGCTGAAACCATTCAGTTGCACGGTTTCAAAAGTGTAAGTGGCTAATGTAATGAACTACTATGCTTTTGCAAATCATACCTCCACTTAAAAAAATAAATAAATAAAAAATTGCATCACAAATTCTCACCTTCCGTTTTTGAACGAACAGAGCACACATAAGTTGCATCATTTCTGTGTATTTTAGTGCATAAGTTAATATTTTATGTAAAATCTTATTTTTAACAAATACAATCCATACAATGTTATGCTATTTTTATGACATGTTTTTTGAAAAAGCTAAATAAGATTGTTGCTTTGTAGTCTTTGCAAGTCTCATAAAAGCAGTAAAAAATGCTGAAGGAACAGTCGTTATAAAGACGAGTTTTATAGTAGCGAACATTATTAAACAAGTGACTTTTGTAATACAAGGTCACCGCTTACCCGAATTTGCAGTTTTCCATAAACTGAATAGTTTTCTTGACCCAGTAACAACTGTGGGATTATCGTATCATTATTTGAATATCGGTATTTGCAAATGGACGGTCGATCAGTGCTGCTTCATGACTCAGACCCTCAAGTCAATGACTGTTGTCCTTTTTATCTTACAAAGCTATAAAAACACATTAGTTTATTCTTATATATATTTGAAATTAGACCAATCAGGGTTCCTGGGGGTGTTTCTTTTAATGTTCCTATGAGGAAAAACTCACAGAATAGGTTAGAAGGTTTGGCGAGATTTGTTTGATCCGGGGGGAATCGCTGACTCCTGAGTGGTTAGTTTAGTGGGTTTTACATAAACTTAAGCGAAATGAGCCATCTGATGTGAAATGTTCGAGTGAGGTTATGCTCTGATAATGGCATTCATAGAACACCTCTTGTCCAGTCATATTTTTTGTGAGAACTAACCATTGTATAATATGTTATATAGGTGACTAACCTTGGTTGTATATAAGTAAAGGGGACTGGTTGTGGGCTTCAGGATGTGGAATGGAAAAGGGATTGTGTTTTTCTGTATTAAATGAAAATTGTTAAATCATGAAAAAATTATCCTAATTATAAATATTAAAACATAAAACATAAAAAAAATCACTGAAAAATAAACAACTGAACATAAATTAATAGATCACAAAGGCGTAAAGATATAGAGTATAAAACAAAAGTGTCCCAGTTTACACCTTTTACTATCTAACCAATATTAATCCTATTTCGTGGCCATAAGTGGAAATTAGCGGGAGAACATTTAAAAACAAATTTGAGGAAGCACTTCTTTACACAGCGTGTAGTTAGAGTATGGAATAGTCTTCCTGCTAGTGTAGCGGAAGCTAAAACCATGGGTTCCTTTAAATCAGAGCTAGATAAGATTTTAACAACTCTGAGCTATTAGTTAAGTTCTCCCCAAATGAGCATGATGGGCTGAATGGCCTCCTCTCGTTTGTAAATTTCTTATGTTCATATGTTCTTATTTCATACTGAATCCAAATGAAAGACACCATAGAGACTCTCTATACACTAAACTCAGTTGCAGTAGCAGCAGGGTAGTGACGTACCCAGGTTTAGGGGTTTTGCTGGGATGTAGTCTTGCAGCTGACCCTCAGATGGCACACTGATGGTTCGTCTCAAGCTTCGATTGCTGGACGGTGTATGACTCCCCATCAGCATCTGTCACGGGTAGAAAATAGTGCAAGAACTGGAACTAGATCAAAGTTCAGTCAATTCATTCACTGGAGCTCTATGAAAATACAAACATTTCTCAATAAAATGGAAAAGTTTCAATACTATTCTGTGCTTAGCCACTCTTTTTCCCCAAACAAAATTGGCATTTTACCCATTTATAAAGCTGTTTACAAGAGCAATTTTGGCTATACAAAATGACAGCATAAGAACATAAGAAATTTACAAAACGAGAGGAGGCCATTCGGCCCATCCAGCTCATTTGGGGAGAACTTAACTAATAGCTCAGAGTTGTTAAAATCTTGTCACAAGTTCTAGTATTTAAACTAATATTGAAATAGCCATTTGGCTGAACAGCATTCAGACCTGTTAGAATCTTATAGACCTGGATCATGTCCCCCCTTAGTCTCCTTTGCTCGAGGCTAAACAGATTCAGCTCAGCTAACCTCTCCTCATAAGACATTCCTCTAAGACCAGGAATCATTCTCATAGCCCTACGTTGCACCTTTTCCAATGAAGCAATGTCCTTCTTAAGGTATGGTGACCAAACGTGCACACAATATTCTAGGTGGGGTCTTACCAAGGAATTATATAATCGTAGCATCACTTCCCTTGACGTAAACTCCACACACCTAGAAATGTAACCCAACATTCTATTGGCCTTTTTTATTGCTTCCCCACACTGGCGAGAGTGGGACATGGAAGCATCAACATACACACCGAGATCTTTCTCGTAATCAGCTACCCTTATTTCAGTGGAACCCATAAAATATCTGTACTTTATATTTCTGCTCCCTGCTTGGATTACCTTACATTTATCTATGTTAAATTTCATCTGCCAGATATCAGCCCAGTCGCTAATTAAAGCCAGATCCCGTTCTAGCCTCCCTGCTGCTAGAGTAGTACTTCCAGGCACTTAACCCAGAAGTTTGATATCTTTTGTAGTTGAAAAATAATTTCAATAGGGCTGTCAAAATTAACGGGTTAACGCGGATTAATCCATCATCATAATTAATCTGATTAAAATTTTTAACGCAATTAACCCATCTGCAGTGCAGAATGACTCAAAATCCCTGAAATGTCTCTGTCAACCCATTTCTGGCAGTTTTGGTGCATTCCATTTCCCCTCGGAACTCATATTTCGAGTCGGATATGAGTTTTGAAGCGGGAAGTATGAATGCACGTTCACGTTTCTCGGAGATCCGAGAAATATCTCGGAGCAGCACAGAGGATCCTGAGTTCAGAATCCAAGATGTCTGTGCCCTTTATCAACAGAAAGGGAAGTTGTAGTTTTATACTGTTTAAACACTACTTCTCATTTGTGGCTCATTAAATCGGTCGCACACACCATACCATCCAACTTATCTGTGGACATGTTGCTACGGAGTTTTATACGTGAAGCACCGCGCGTAATGTGTTATCAAGTGATATTGCTAACAATGGCTACCAATTAACCGGTCTAGAATTGGATTTCATGATTAGTCGGATTATTTGTCGGATTTACCAGCCCTAAAATCCCAAATTATGGTTAGTCAACAACAGCTAGGTTTATGCTTAGAAAGATTTTGGCTTTTATAACTACCCAAAGGTGTTTTATTATTGTGCTGGGGCCCCGTATACAGGGAAACTACAAATTAGCTGGGTTTGATAACATTTTTCAGACATTCCAAGGGCCAGTTGTGTAACCCTTAGTCCCCAAATTAGGATTAGGATTAGTGTATCGCAGAAGGCTGGGGTACACCCTTGATGGGACGTCTTTCCATCAGAGGGTTCAGATTAGGGTTAGCCTGTCCCACATGGCCAGGGTATATGGTGCATTTCATTTGCCCTCGGAACTCGGATTCCGAGTTTCGAAGCCGGAAATGATGACATGCGCGCTCCCATTTCTCAGAGATCCGAGAAATATCTCGGATAACGCAGAGGATCCCGAGTTCAGAATCGAAGATGGCTGCGCCCTTTATCAACAGAAGGAAAAGTTGTAGTTTTATCCTGTTTAAGCACTACTTCTCATTTGTGGCTCATTAAATCGGTCGCACACACCATACCGTCCAACTTATCTGTGGACGTGTTGCTACGGCGTTTTATATGTAAAGCACCGCGCGTAATGTGTTATGAACTGATATTGCTAACAATGGCAATTAACCAGGCTAAAATTGGATTTCATGATTAGTCGGATTATTTCTCGGATTTACGGTAGTTCGGGCTAATTGTAAATGAACAAAGATAAAGACCATTTAAACTGAGGTACCTTAAATCCGACAAGTTGTCCGGCTAAGCAAAAAATCTTGCTTTTTGATATGGGTCCATGGTATTGCACTTCTGTGACAGATGGAATGCATCCGACTTGTGTTCAAGATGTTCAATAAACATGTTAAGTGCATATATATTCCCTTTTTTCTTGAGTCTGTTTGCTCATGCAAAATTAAATGCGATTAATATAGATTTAAAATGAATGATATTTAATTGTGATTAATCGAAATTAATCCACAGCAACCCTGTGATTAATCTGATTAAAATTTTTAATCGTTTGACAGCACTAAATTTCAATAATGGATACAATTTAGATTCCACATATAAAATATTAAGACCAATTAGTGACGTAGTCAAGACCACCTAAACCGAGACCAAGCCATTNAATTTCAATAATGGATACAATTTAGATTCCACATATAAAATATTAAGACCAATTAGTGACGTAGTCAAGACCACCTAAACCGAGACCAAGCCATTACCAAGACCAGAGTATATTGAGTGTTTTGATTTTAGGCTTATTACGTTGTATGTACATGAGTATGATTTATATGCTATATGAATATGTTTTATAGTTCTGTTTTCAGGAAATTCTGGGCTACTCAGATATGTCATAATTTGATGTATATATGCTGACAGTCTTGACATCATCCTTCTACTTGCGTCTATTGAAATTTCAGTTGTTAGGCTAATCTAATATAAAGATTTGCAGGCACTACAAATATTATCTTATAAATCTTGAGATTAGAGTCTGTGATGTGGGAACGCAAGGGTTTCATGAGGGACCTTTCTATGGGTAAGTTTTGTGAAGGAATTAGTGCATTTTGTTATTTGTAGTAGAACCCCAGCCAATTTTGAGTGTTTTTATAATTCCTTTAGTTTTAGGCTTATAATAAATTCATTCTAATTTAATTTTTTTCCCCTTGGAGGGTAGTGCATGGATCATTACGAAAGCAAATATGTGCTCTGTTTTTCATCTAATGTGAATAATATTGATGATTTTTGAATTATTAGGGGTGATATTTCATGGAAAATATTTAAAATATATGCCTCATTTTGCACTGGATTACTCTGGAATATTTTGATGCAAATCATTAAGTCAAATCAAATAAGTTTTCTCGATTACAAAGATATGTGAATCATGTCTATGCAAAATGTCAAGGATCCGGGCGGCACGGGCACGCGAACGTGGCATGGTGCAGGCACAAAATAGGGTGGACGACCCACTAGCGGCTCCAGGAACAGAAGGGGGTTTATTAACTGAACTAAAAAAAACACAAGGAAGGGCTAGCAAAAACAATGAACCACGGGGCGTAAAAAAACTAAAGGGGATAAAGAAAGACTAAATAACAAAAACTGGGCAGGTAAGCAAAATACACACATCACACAAACAAACTTCTCTATACAACTACAACACATACAGAACACACAATGAACCACTCAGGAACTGAACAGAAGCAGGAACTAAAATACTAAGGGGTAACGAGACTAACACAGGACAGGTGAGGCTAACTAAGAAAGACCAGGGAAACAGGGCACAGGTGAAACTAATAAACTCAAAAGGAACTCAACAGGGAAACTAAGAACTAACCAAGGAATCAGAACACTGGGGAATTACAGACAGGTAAAGACAAGCAGGGGCACAAGGAACAAAACCAAAAACCATATACAAAATCACCAAATACAATAACTAGACAAACTCAACTGAAACACT